AATAATGATATGTACCACCTTCCCCGAACTAGATTGCTACTTTGACGCGGTGGGGGGCTTGCGTGCTCCAGTGAGCCTGAGAGCTATGCTGGCTGGATCTCTTGAGGTCCTGGTAGGGTCACCCATGGCAGACAGGTCAAAGGTTAGGGGCCAGACAAAGAGCAATCTACCGGCCCCTCCGTTTGTTATGGAAATAGCAACGTGTAACATAAATGAATCATCTGTGCAGAACGAGCCTCCGGAATCCATTCCATGGGCACCAGTGAACGCTGAGAGTGAAAACACCAGATACTCTGCAGGTAATGCGATTCGAATGACTGACAATGTTTAAAGCCGAAAGCAAGCCACTGTCATGACAACGGGAGCGGTCAGCGCTGAAACAACTACACTGATTGGCTTTTGGAATGTACGAACAATGTATGAGCCAGGTAGGATGGCGTAGGTCATTGCTGAAATGAAGCGTTACAAACTAGATATCTTAGGCATCAGTGAGAGTAGATGGACAAAATCTGGGAGAATGAAGACAACAACAGGAGAGACAGTTCTTTACTCTGGGAGAGAAGATGATTCACATCATGAGGGAGTTGCAGTAATCATGAAGAAAGGAATGGAAAAGTACTTAATGGAATGGAAGCCAGTAAACAGCAGGATTATTCTAGCACGATTAAAGGGTAGGCAGACTAACTTGTCCATCATACAATGCTATGCACCTAAAATAATAGAGTTAAGGAAACTGTGTATTATGCATAATATTATCCATGGAAAGTGTCCTCATTACTTTAATGAACATATTCGTTTTGTCAACAAGAGACATCATTACACAACTCGGGCGTCAACCAACATGGACTTAACCACTCCTTGTTTTAACACCAAGACCGGCAAACGCTTATTTTTGGCAAATGGCATTAGACTATGGAACAATCAAGACAGTACTACGAGGGGCCTCATTCCCCTTCGTAAATTCAGAAATCTAGTATAAAAGAAATACAAGATCGGAATTCCAGAATTGACAACTTTATTGTTAGTAAAGATTTTTAATGAATTGTCAATGGTATTTTTTCCTTGTATTTTTCTATTTGAATTTGTAATTGCAGTTGTTTGGTAGATTTCAAGGACCACAATGAGAACTACTGGTTTTGCCAGTAATTGTGTTATCCAATAAAGTCATTATTATTAT